TCTGAACCGGTTTGCTACCGGTTCTCTGGCTGCACATGTGCACTGAGCACCAAGTGTGCATTGTGTGTGCATTCACAGTACGCACCAAAAGGAGGCTTGGGAAGGTACGTAGAACAGCTGGGGGTGGGAATCCGCTGTGACTCGTGATCTTGGGAACTTTAAAAAAATTTTTTTAAAGCATTTTTTACTACCAGTTCAGGCGAATAGGTAGTTAAAAATTGCTTTAAAAAAGTAAAAAAAGGCTCGGACGATCACAGCTGTGCCGTGTGATCGTTTGAGACTTTTTTTTTTTACTTTTTTAAAAGCATTTTTTTAGTACCTATTCACCTGAACCGGTAGTAAAAAAATGCTTAAAAAGTTAAAAAATGTTCTGACGATCAGCTGAGTGATGCATGATCATCAGAACTTTTTAAAAAAAAACTTTTTAAAGCATTTTTAATTACTGGTTCCAGAGAACGAGTAGTAAAAAAGTGCTTAAAAAGTTTTTTTTAAAAAGTTCCAACGATCATGCATCATTCAGCTGATTGTCGGAACTTTTTTTTACATTTTTTTACTACCAGTTTGGCAAACCAGTAGCATTTTTTTACTACCGGTTCGGGTGAACCGGCCCGAACTGGTAGCATTTCACCCCTGCATTCCAGACAAATGACTGCCCAATATCTTCTTAATAGGCTCCAATAATAGAGCACCCACAACTTCTGTGGGCAAGACACTGCACTGATTAATTTTTCTCACTGAAATTTCTCTTTAGTTCTAGATTGGATCTCTCCTTGAAAGACTTGATAGAAGGGACTTGATTATAGCAATACTTTCTACACAGAGCTACTCTTAAAGGAAGTTCTTTAACCTAGTAACATAAGTCTGCAATAGGCAGTAATGTAGATTCTGTTGAGATGAATTACCTTTGGTGATTATATGAATTGGCAGCAATAACAATATGATTTACCTTTGCCTTTTTCCAAGACTTTTTGTTTTTATTCCCCACTCTTGCCAAAGTTCTGGTAATTTTTGATGTTCTCTCATCCAAAACCCAGTGGGACACATGGGGGTTACTTGACTTACTAATTCCATTAGGGGTCTCCTGATCTTTAGCCAGAACATCCTTCATTGTACTTTGAATCCATTTGTTCTTGTCTTGCCCTCTAGAACAGTAGAGAATAGGTCTATTCCTGTGCATAAAGAATACAGGCAGTTGTTGCATGACCATTTGTTCAATGATCATTCAAGGTTATGAACAAGGGGACTTATGACTGGTCCTTGGAGACTAGTCCCTGGACCATTGCAGGCCTCAGTGGTCATGTGATTGGACATTCTCTGCCACTTCATACAAGTAAAATAAATAGGGAAGCTAGCAGGAAGTTATAAATTGTGGTCACGTGAGGTCCTTTCTTAAAAATGGCAAGTGGGATTGCCAGAACTGCTATTGCTAAGTGGCACAGTCATGTGACATTGGACTTGACAATCATGGTGCTTTCCTATGGAAATTCTGGTCCTAACTGCTGCCAAAAGCTGAGGACTACCTGAAACCCCTTCTCTTTAATTTAGAACTTTAATCTAAAAATAATTCATTGCACCCCAACCAAACTAAATGTTTGCTTCACTTGGATCAAATGGAATATTTAAATGCAAAACCTTATGGTGACAATGTATTCAGAACCTTTTGTGGGTTTACTGTCAACAAAACCTTCAACTGTTTTCTGGAATAGCATCAATTATTAATTAGTAGATTACACAATGTCTTCATATATATTGCCATCTTCCATTCTTATCAAGACATTGTTTTGAATTTTATTCTTGTTGATAAAACATTATATGCATGTGTGTATGTTTGTATGTATGCATGCATGCTTGCATGCATGCATGTAAAGTTTTGGCAAGGTCCAGCTGATATTTTCATCTTCTGGAACTAAGTTTGATAAATATAGAATAGATAGACTTTTTTTTTTGTTGAGACATTTAAAATTATGTAGGGAATAAAACCAAAATATTTGTTTGTAAATGTTAATTACTGAAGAAGTCAAACAGCAAATAAGAGAAAATATTTGTGGAGAGCTGTCCTCAATTAATTCAGGCAGCCGAAGAGAAAAACACAACTTACTATGTGGGAGAGCTTTATGCTTGGGGCAAAGTCGATCCAAATAAGTACCCTGAGTAAAAGTTAGCTCTGACATTTATACAAAAAGTTTCTTTGTTATTTATAACATGTCACTCTATCTATTTCTTTCACAAAGTTAGTGTTTACACTAGGTTAGTATTTACAATTCTCAATTTTGATACAAGATTACATTTATCATGTTTGGTACAAGATAGCGAAACCTTCCTAATCGAATGTCATTTTCAGGAGTTTCCTGCTACATGTCTGTTTTGTTTGTTAGTTTTGCAAAGAGAGATTAAGTCGTGGCTGTCCAACCTTTTTGGCTTTCCTGGGCTGCATGGACTGAAGAGGAATTGTCGTAGGCCTCATATAAAATATATAATATAGTTAATGCATATAAATTACAAACTTTCTTTATTTTTTTATTATACTGCTTCTTGTGGGGCTGCATTGCTAGCTGTTCAGGACAGCATATGGCTCATGGGTTTAAAAAGCCTGATTTAGACAATCCAGTGGATAATTTAATCAGTTTTTGGTGGCTGGTTTGTAAATAGTTTAATTCCTGGCTGACTTTGTCTAAAATATTATTTGAGACCTTTTTTTATGAATGGGATTCCTTTAAGGTAGAAATTGTTGCTTTTGCTGTTGCTCCCCCTAGGATTTGAAGGAATCTATTTTATATTGTTTAGCAATCCAGTTATCAGGGTGATAAGGCCACAATGTTTTATGATGACCAGAAATGCTTTATGCCACAAAACACCCTTTCTGAGTGACTTTGAACAGTAGATAAATAACTGGTATGTACAGGTGAGGATATAAATATATATATATTTAGCAATTATAATGCAACCATTGAGGCCCCAGATACAAACCATCATTCTAAGAAGATTCCTGGGAATAGTCTGAGCAATAGAATAGCTAACTGAACTTTTCAAATGTGGGTCTGGTTCAGTGGTGGGTTTCAAATTTTTTTACTAACGGTTCTGTGGGTGTGGCTTGGTGGGTGTGGCATGGCTTGTGGGCATGGCAGGGGAAGGATACTGTAAATTGTCCATTCCCACTGCAATCCAAGGGAAGGTTACTGCAAAATCCCCATTTCATCCCGATCAGCTGGGACTGGGAGGCAGAGAATAAATGGGGGCAGGGCCAGTCAGAATTTTTACTACCGGTTCTCTGAACTACTCAAAATTTCCGCTACTGGTTCTCCAAAACTGGTCAGAACCTGCTGAAACCCACCTCTGGTCTGGTTGTTTGTGCCTGACAGATTGCTCTAATAAAATGTCAATAAGGTGTTGCCTTTACTTCCTTCTTTTCTAAAGTCTTTGACAATAGTTATTCAACACTGAAATATAATTCAAGCCATATATTTCAGAGAGTTATCCAGCCTACCAGTTAAAAGACTATGTATTTACTTTTCTTCCTGGAATAAGACAAATATTTTGTAGTAACATATAATTGAGACTAAAAAAAAAGAGCTTGGTTAAAATCTGAATCCACCCCAAGAAAGAATTGCTATGATTTGATTTGCTTTTGGCTAAATATTTGGCCAGTTGAAGCTTCAGAGCAGAAGAAGCTTCTTGAATGAGAAGCGAAAAGTCTTCAAAGAAAAAACAAAGTCCAGTTGCCTCTTGAAAAAGCACCGTTGGGACAACCATGATCTGGATGACTGAGAATCTCCATAGATATTTGGCCAGTTTTTTCATGGTTTAACTTCAGTATAATTTGGATAAGCAAGGATGATATATTTATTTTATAGGAAGTTTTCCTTTGAGCTTTTAAAATATTATAAAATAAATAATATGTTGTGATGGAAGCCTGTTGTTTAAAACTGTTATTTACAACAATTAGTTAACATGTTCTTGACAAGGGGCCACTGGTAAGTTCTGGACCAATAAAGCCTAACTGCTCCTTTGAGGATCAGTATGTACGTGTGAACTCTTCATCTGAAATAAGCATGCATTTTTCCTTTGTTTTGGTGCTATATGGGATGGACGGTTAAAACCCTGAGTTGAAGAGGTACAGAAGGTACGTACCTCTCACCCTGCTGGGGTGAAATCCAGCAGATTCTGGAGAACCGGTAGTGGAAATTTTGAGTAGTTCAGAGAACCGGCAAATACCACCTCTGGCTGGCCCCAGAGTGGGTTGGGAATGGAGATTTTGCAATATCCTTCCTCCAGGAGTGGGGAGGGAATGGGGATTTTGCAGTATCCTTCCCCTGCCACGCCCACCAAGCCATGCCCATAGAACCGGTAGTAAAAACAAGTGGATTTTGCAACTGAATGAAAGTGTGAGCTCACATATTTTGGTCATGGTGGTCTTTTTTTAAAAATTTACCTTCTCAGTTTTCTATAGCCTATGGCATTTCTATGGGATTCCTTGGAGGTGTGCCATTCAAGTTCTAAGAGGCCCAGTTCAGACAAATGTTGGTCAGGGGTTGCCCCGGCCTTATTCTTCCAGTAGCTCCCCCCCCCCCACAAGGAATTCCCCTGAATCTTCAGGTACTGTTACAAACGCAACGTGCTCCACTGTTGCACTCCAACTCGGCAGAAGACCGACCGCTCATTTTAAAAAACCACAAGTTTTAAGTCGCTGTTTTGTTTTTTTGTTCTTTTGCGGTCCGTGCGAACTAAAAAGCAACCAACCGGTCCGCCGGCATCCGGTTTCCCACAGCGCTACCTTCAGAAAAAATCTCTACAAGGGACTAGAGGACGATGAGAGCATTTCCCCCGATAACCCGAGAACGGGCTTCAGGGGTTCATCCCATTAACCGGGCTTTTTAGCCACGGAGCCCTGCGCTGCTCTCTTTCAGCACCTTCGGGACGCTTTGGCGCCTTTTTTTCTTCTCTCCTTAATTGCTTCTCTGGCTGGTCTCGCTCAGCGCTGCCGCTGCACGTTCTGGGGAGGGCTTTCAGCCTCTTCTCCCTCCGCCCCCCTCCCCAAAGCCGCTCATCCGCCAATCAGCGCCGGCTCTCGGGAGGCTTCTTTCTGTTCAGTGCGCTTCTGCTCTGCGTCCAAGGATGGCCAGCAAGCAGGAGCGCGGGCAGGTGCAGGGCAGGTGAGTCTCTCGTGGGTCGAGCAAGAACGAACGGACGCGGCCAGGGGGCAAGCCTGGAAACGCCGCGAAGGGAAACCGAGTTGTCCGCCCGGAGGGCTCGCCGTTCCCTGCGCTTTCAAAAGCGTCGCCCGCGAGGCGAAGATGTGCAAGGGCGCGCGCCGCTCTCTTTCTTGCTGGCATCCGTTCCCAGCGCCCTGGAGCCGCGGGCAACCCTGCTCCGCTCGGCGCTGCAACAAAGGAAGGGCGCCATTGCATAAGGGCAGGAGGGCGGAGTGGGGGGGGGGAGAGAAGGCAGGTATTGGAGACAAAAAAAACAAAAACAAAAAACAGGCGGGAAATTTTGGTGGCAGCCGGCCAGTCTCCGCGGCGCAAGAATGACGGTCGCTAATAAAGAAATGCAAGCCGGGGGGAGAGGGAGGCGATGCTTGCAGAAATAATAAAAGACAGCCAGCCGCCCTCCATCTGAGAGAGGGTGCGCGTGCGTGGATGCGTGCGTGTGTGTGTTGACGGGCGGAGCGGAGGAAACGCCTCTTTCCAGCTTGGAGTCCCTTTTCTCGACACGTGGAAAACCTCCCTGCCGTTCCCGACCCCGCTTCTTTGGGGGGTGGGGCGGAAAAGGCTCGCATTGGGGTTCATTTTGGTTCTGTGCGGGCGAGAGGACGGGTCGTTCGATCGTTCATTTTAATTTGTTTTGCCGCCCATCTCTGGCTGTGTGTGAGGCATTCTGGGCGGTTTCCAATTTATTTACACTATTGTTTTTCCAACGATGAGTGTTGAACGTAAACTCTCCTTCTCTTCTTCGAAGATTCACGACCCCGCCCGCATCCGTGTAATTTTCCTGGACGGCAAAATTGTAATTGTGCCATTGCTTTCTTCCTGGATCTACCCCCCCCCTTTCCTATTTTTCTGCTTTAATCTGCTTACTCGCTCGGTGATTTCCCAGAGATCTTCCCTGCAGATTCGACTCTTGGTTTTGGACAGCAGCCAGATATTCTCTTAATCGACACCTTTCCTTATTACTATTATTGTTTTTTTTCCTGCGTGAGTGAAAGCCTGAGATGCAGTTTCCTGACTGACATAAAGGCAGGATTTTTAACATGGGTTATTTCATCCACTTTTTAAAAAGCTTGGATGACATTTGTAAGGGTTGCTAACAGAGTTTATAGCGAGCATTTAAATAACTTGAATGGTCCAGCTATGTTCATTTAACTTTAACATTGGGATCCTTGTTTCAAGATTAATTTTAATATATTGTAGTAACGTCCTTTAGGAAAATTGTTTGCAAATATCAAATGCCTCACTTAAGATGCACAGATTATAGCAACAGTTTTTTGCTTTTCAACTTCAACAACATCTGAAGTCAAATTGGTCTTCTTGAACATCATTGTCCTGTTTTTATAGTCATTCAAACCAATACTGGAGATCAGAAAGAAACCAGATCAAATCTTAGTGCAACCATTTCCCATTTTCCACTTCAACTTCCATCTTAAAGCACACACATATACACAATAAATAAATCCTGAGAGAGAGAGAAAGAAAATTTAATAAAATTGTAGTCTTAGCAAAATGCATTTATAAAATAGGAAAAGAACCTTCAAGCTAATACTGTATACTAATTCATGAAAAACCTAATGTATTTTGAAAAAAAATTACATGTAGCCGGAAAACCTATATACAAAGCTAGAAATTTACATTATGTAAATTCTCATCTCAGTTATTTTGAAACTATTTGACATTCTGTACTGTTAAGACAAGTATAGCAAAACACAACATATCTTAAAAGATGCCCAAGACTTAAAATGATAATTATGAGGAAGATGAAAGGATGCCTGGTCTGTTTGTGCTACCAATGCTCATTAACAGTCAAGACTGGCTGAATTTCTCCACCTCTATGCTTTCTCTTGCCACATTTCTCTCCCACAGTGAAGTGTATGTAGGTGCTCCAGTCCTACCTATGAAAAGAGCCAAAAATCTCAGTAATACTTAAATGTTGAACTGGCACAAGGGAGTCCCAGATTCAAATCTGTCCTTGCCCACAGAAGCTCACCAAAGGACTTTATGTAGTTACTCAACCCAAACTACCTGATAGAGCTGCTGTTGAGAAAATGAAATTTTGAGGGAAGGGATACTGTGGCACTCCTAAAGGAAGGGCAGGATAGAAATTTTTAAAATTGCAGAAAAATTCTTGTGGAATTAGATTTACTTCATTAAAAATTTGAGAGAAGATTCTTTCAGACACCCCAAGAGGATTAGGCTTCAGTAGATTTTATGCAGTGTAAAGATGATGAATAATAAACTGGACTGAAAAATAATGTCTAGAATGATTGAATGAATTGTGGTTGGGCTCCTTGAACAGGCCATGATTACAAACCACAATGGTAGACTTATCAGATGATGCTACATCAAAATCAAACACCCCCCTTATAGCTTAGGCCTTAGGGCAATACTGTGCTGTATTCTACATTCCATGAACATCATTGTAGTTCTTCAGTCAAAGTTAGGAATATGCTAGTGAAAACAAATATGAACACAGATCTTTGTGATGGCTTCATTTACACTTGTATTTATCCATCTCTCAAGGCCAGTTCATATGTTCACAGATGGACTTTAGGTTTGATCAGTTATCCATAAATATGTGATGGAGCACTGTAAGCCCACTTTCCATTGGCCATAGCCATGTGCACATCCAATACATATGCTCTTTTTTTTTTCCTCAAAGAAAGGAGACAAAAGATGAGATCAATGCACAAGCAATCTTCAACTTACAATCACTACAGGGACCAGAATTCCTGTTGCTAAGCAAGGCAGTTGTTAAATGAATCATACCTGATTTTACAATCTTTTTTGATGGTTGTTACTGGATTACTGGAGTTGTTAAGTGAATCACACGGCCGTTAAGCAAATTTGGCTTCCCCCAGGAAGGTCACCAATGACACTCAGATGACCCTGGAATGCTGCAGCCATTATAAATATATTACAGTTGCCAAGCACACAAATTGAATGGTTACTTAAATGAATGATTGTATGTCAAGAAACACCTGTTATGCATACATATATTAATTGCATCATTCATTGGTATGCCACAGCACAAATCTTGTGCTAGCTCAGGGGAATCTACAATGGATAGTCAAAATCAGTAAGATGGCAGAAGTAGCACTATAGTATCTCTTGCTTCCCCCCCTCCCAAGCTTAATATACAAATTAAGGCCTTTATTTTGCAACTTGCTCAACCCATTTTGTGCACTGTAAGGCATTGTCTGTGCTATTCTAGATATTGGTGTATCTAGACAATGGCATAATTTGATTTGTTGTTGTTAGTTGTGAAGTCATGTCTGACCCATCGCGACCCCATGGACAACGTTCCTCCAGGCCTTCCTGTCCTCTACCATCTGGAGTCCATTTAAGCTCATGCCTACTGCTTAAGTGACTCCATCTAGCCACCGCGCTCTCTGTCATCCTCTTCTTCTTTTGCCCTCAATCTTTCCCAGCATTAGGCTCTTCTTCAATGAGTCCGTCCTTCTCATTAGGTGGCCAAAGTATTTGAGTTTCATCTTCAGGATCTGGCCTTCTAAAGAGCAGTCAGGGTTGATCTCTAGGACTGACCGGTTTGATCACCTTGCAGTCTAAGGGACTCTCCATGAAGGGGTAATTTGATATTAGTACTCAAATACTGATATCCCATGATAGGCCTGCTTTCTAATTTCTTTTGATATAAATACTTAACATAATGAAATCCTTTGCTTTTTCTGCAGAAATTAATTTATATGTATGTTTTTGTTTATTTGCTACAGTTTTAGCAAAAATGTATTTTTTAAAAAAATACAAGTAGTTTCCTTATTCTTTTGGCACATAAATGAATAGTTTTATGCCTTATCCCGTGATCTCATTAGAAGGTCATAATTCACAGCTCTATCCTGTGTGGCTGTACATTTGTGTAGGCTTTAACATGGAATTAAATTTCTGACTAAACTTGAGTAAGCGCATAGTGTAAATTGAGGAGGTACTGGTACAGTATGGAACATTGCATTGGTTGTTTATTTGTTTGTATTCCATCTTTATTATTTTTAAACATAACTCAAGGTAGCAACAATATCCTTCCTCTTTCTATTTTCCTCACGACAATCTTTTGAGGTGAGTTGGGTTAAAAGAGAGTGATTCACCCAAGATCATTCACCTGGCTTTCATGGCTAAGGCATGAAACAGTAAAAATAACAACCCAAATAATTAAATCTAGATATACAATAATCAAAACAGAATAAATAAGATTATAAAAATGCTTTAGAAAATGAAGTTATAAACTGTAGTATATATTGTGCAAAGTTTTAGTATGTTTCTTAAAATTAATTCCATTAATATAATTCAAACAATATCAACACTGAATTTATATAACAGTATTATTGAATATTTTATTCTCTGCAGCTTGTTTAATTATTATCTCATAGAAACAGTCAGACAGTTAACGGAATGCAAAGGAAAATAAAGTGTATGAGTCTCTTATCTTTCTAGACTTTGAATAATTTGCACTGTCTTACTCACACAACATATGTGTGGATTCTGACCATCTGGTCAACATAGTTGATAGTCAAGTTTTTATAAGCCTACTGTATTTACTTCCTTCTAAAAACATACTGAGACCTAATATGATACCATTATTGAGTTGTTTGCTGAAATAGAAAGTATAAATGCTGCATTTCAAGTATTTTTTTTAATTCTTGGGTCAGATAGTCTAAAGTTTATATCTGTTTTGATATTTTTTTTCCTTGTTAAATGGAAATATACAACTGGCTAGAAGGATATGTAAAGTAGGAACTGAACCGGAAGATGGAATTGCCATTCCAGTGTGGCCTGGATAAAGGTATACGTGGCTAAATGTATATATTTGTTATCTCCTCAAAAGAGGAATGTGTAATAAAAAAGAGGACACACTGGCATTTAGTTTGCATACATATTGGACATTTTTAAAACAATTATATAATTTTATAGCAATATCACATCAGACAAGGTTTTCTATGTTTCTAAGGTAAGTTTATGACTGGATGCCCTGTGTATTTGCTTTGCTTGGGTTGGTTTTTTTTTTTTTTTTAGATGCGAAGTGTTGATGGTCCTTGTGGCACATTCTTAGGATTTTTTAATAGGAAAAGTCTTCAAATGGAACACTTTGCAAAAAGAAGAATCTAACGTAGGATAACTTGACATAATCTCTACTACAGTAATAATCCTGCTATGAATTATTCCAGATGGTATATAAAACTATGTGCTGTGTAACATTTGAGATGTATGCAAATTGAAATTGCACATTCATGTATTAATCAATCAGCTTTAGAGAGAGCTTTCTATTGAATCCTTGGTCTAGTAATTCTAGCACAGAGCTTGGATTGTTGATTAAAGAACCTATAGAAATTTTACTAAACAAATGTCTCATTCATAGGTTTATAAAGCAAATCTGTCTACAATGGTATGGTTTTATATGATAGCCAACAAAGAAATGATTCAAATATATGAATGAATACGCTCATTTTTCTTATTAAGATATTTAATAATACAAAGGATCTCATCTATTTAAATATTAATTGATTTGATTTTTTCAGCGAATCTGATGGTACCTCTGAGGATGACAAAGGTAATTAATTTTTCAAAAATATATAATTCTGTTCATTAGTAAGGGTAAATTAATCAATTAAATATCATTATTTATTTTCCGGGAAGCTGAGGATGAAGAGAAAAGGAAAGAGGGTGTCAGAAAAAGAGACATATCCAAACAAAATAGATTATGGAAAACAAAGAGAATTTAGGGTTTCAGGAAGAAAGAAAATAGTGCCTCTACTGATCTTTGCTTGTTGCTTTGCTCATGCTTAATCCACTGGTATAGAATGCAGCAGATTATTCCTGTACAATAGGCACCTTGCTAGGGTAGCCATTTTGATAATTTCTGGATAATTTTCTCATGATTTAATGAGGCTATGGAGAGGTAGAATTTTGTACCATCTTTCATAAGGCATCGGTGCTGTTGCTATTGAAGTCCAGAATTTGATTAAATTTATTTTAAGAACTCCCTTTGACTGCAGGATCCAACCTGAGTCAGTCATCAGATCAGAGGTTTAGTCTTCTGAGATTTCAGACTCATGCTGGAGCCCATCCTCAGGGAACTTCTCTCTACCAGAATGTGTGCTTTGGGCTATACTATGTGTAGTATTTACGTGGTGCCTGGTTGTGTGTGGCTTTTTATTTGATGATCAGGGTGTTGGTGGCTGGCTTATTAAGTTGTTGGCTTAATAGGCAGCACATAAATACTATGCTTAAAGTAGCCCAAAGCACAGATTCTGGTAGAGAGATGTTCCCTGAGAATGGGCTCCAGCATGAGTCCAAAAGCTTAGAAGACTAAACCTCTTGTCCCAGTGACCAACCCAGATTGGATCCTGCAACATTATCCTGGGATGTGTATATTTGCCTTCATTCCCTTTGACTGGTCTAGACCAGTGATGACTAACTTTTTTGCTGTCGTGTGGCAAAAGCATGGGGAGCGTGGGGTGTGTGTGTCATGTGTGCACGTACCCACACCCATAATTCAATGCTGCCCAGTCCCCCCGTGCATGTGTGTGCAACACCCCTGCACTCTCCCCCCGCTTTTGGCCCAGAGGGCCCGGTAGGCTGTTTTTCGCTCTCCCCAGGCTCCAGAGGCTTTCTAGGAGCTTGGGGATGGCGAAAACAGCCTTTCCCACCCCCTGGAGGCCATCCAGAGGCCAGAAATGGCCCATTTCCCAAGTTCCGGTGGGCCCGGAAGGCCCAAAAATCAGCTGGCCGGTGCGCACATGTGTGCTGGACCTGAGCTAGGGCAACACTTGCGTGCCCACGGATATGGCTCCGCGTGCCACCTGTGGCATGCATTCCATAGGTTCGTCATCACGGGTCTAGACTGATCTGTTATCAGCTAGAAGCAGTAGCTTTCTGTATAGAGTTCTTGGTGCTTTGTGAACTTGGTTGCTTACTTCACACTGATAATGTTACCTAGTTGGGTAACGCAACATCTGCAAGGAATAACCAAGCTCACAGAGCACCAAAACCTCCACAGTTGAACCTTGAATCGCATATATTGTCTTCTATTGGAGTAAGTTTTTTTTTTACTAGACCTATGGATGGCAGATCAAGTTGGAGATATTGTTGGTTACTGTGTCATTCTCCAGATTTGTTAGCATAGTTCGGTTAGAACCTTTACTTATTCTTCTTTTGTTGCTTGCCATATTATTTTAGATAAAAGCCTTTCAAACGCTTTTTTTTCTGAAGCTCTGTTTGGAGGCTTTTTTTTCTGAAGCTTCATTTCTGAGGCTTTTTTTCTGAAGCTTCTTTCAGAGGCTTCTTTCAGCCTCCGAAATCTCCCTTTGCAAGGCTGGCAGAGCTACATTTGTAGTATAAGACACACCCAGATTTTCACCCTCTTTTTCTGGGGAAAAGGTGCGTCTTATACTCCGAAAAATACGGTTTCTTGTACTATTCCTCCTTTCTCAATTATGATTGTTATCTTATGTAAAATTTACCATTCTGTTTCAATTTCTCTTGATTCAGATGACTCTATTACTTTTTTTTTTTTAAATCCAATATGACAATCAAATTCTGTGGGTCTTGTTTTTGCATTTGTAACACTTACAGTCTGTTTGCCATATAATTTTCCCTGAGGTTCTCATTCTTTCCCATAATGCTTTGTGAAATTATTTCAAATTATCTCTGCCACCTTGTGATGTTGTTGATTAAGGTGAAGTTCTGGTCAGTTCTGCATTAAAGGCTGATGAACAAATGTACAAATGAAGTATAAAAATGACCAGTAGATTTTTCCTTTTTTGTGAATGGGATCACAAATTATAATCTAGAAATAACTTTTTAAAAATTGGTTTATATAGTAGCCAATAGATAGTAGCAAATGGGCTTTAGTGTATTTTACTACATTTTGGCAGTGGTATTCTTTGTTCTTTAAACTTGCTAATGCAATTTTAGGCATATGCAACAGTTCCTATATGCTCCCACTTCAAAATTATGGAAAAATCTTAGCTCCATCTGCATTTTTTCATAGCTGGGAAGAATCCATAGACAAACAGAACAAAACAAAAAACAAAGGGAATTTGTGACCCCTTGTGCCCTTTTTTTAAAAGAGACAATGGATATTTAATTTTGCATTATTTCCCCCCTAATTAGATAGTTACACCTGTAACAAAAAAAGATGAAGATTTTGCACAAGAAAATAAATTGAGAAAATAGCATAGGAAAATAAATTATAATCTTCCTGATAATAACGGCTGTTGAAAATGCCTTCCAGATGATAAATGATTTAGTTTTAGTATGTTATGTCTTTGTTTCTAGTTTTCAGTTATTGTTACTTTTTGAAATTGATTATGTCCTCATAGGAGGACATAAAACCTCATTTGGATTTCATCCAAACAAATTGGAGTGAAGAGTGAGAGGGGAAAAAGGAGTGATTAATTTTGAACAGAATCCCATATAAATTTTTTTCCATAGCATAATTACATCATAGGGCAAAAATCTTAACTAAAAGTGACACAAATTTGTTAACATTTTTAAAGTAATAGAACCTATGTGCAACATTGATGCATAGATATTTTTGTATCATGTAATTGTAGTTCTTGAAATCTTCCTTTCCCCACGTGGTGTAATCCTAATCAAAAGTTGATCTTTAGGTGTAGTTTTCTTTAACAATATCTATATTTAGCCTATGATGCAGTTTACCTTAAAACTAATGAGTAAGTAAAATATAGGTCGCAGTGTCGAAATTATAGTGGATCACTAAGGAGTCTTTAAAATGATCTCATAAGAGTTTGTACAAATAGGAAAACCCATCAGTTTTCCTATATACAGTACCAATTTCTTCTAAATTCAGAACTAGATTGAGCAAATGTTAAATATTCAGTGGTATCAGTTTAATCTACAGAATTGTTTAACTGTTACTAAGACAAATACATTTTCATTTTATGAAGGTAACGACAGTTCCAGCAGTGACTCAGAGAGCTCTGAAAGCGAAACTGGTCAGTAATTATGCAGCTACATTTCATGTATATAAATAATTATTTGGTAATTTTATTGGGGGAAGGGAATCTTAAAGGGGAAATTCTCCTTTCAAACGATTCCTAAGGAACTGAATATGTTAAATGAACATAGAATTCTTCCTCCTGCCCATTTGGGAGGACAGCTGAAAAACAGAGGAAGGCAAGGAGAAGGAAATGCATAGAATTTGTCCTATTTTCGTATTTTAAATGTTATTGAACTGTAGCCAGAAGCTACAGGTAGTCCTCGACTTATGACCATTATTGAGCCCAAAATTTCCATTGCTAAGCAAGATACCTTTTAAGTGAGTTTTGCCCCATTTATGACCTTGCTTGCCATGGTTGTTGACTGAATCACTGCAGTAACATGGCTGTTTACTGATCTGAATTCCCCCATTGACTTTGCTTGTCAGGAGGTCACAAAAGGGGATGACATGACCCAGGACCCTGCAGTCATCGTAAACACATGTCAACTGCCAAGTGTCTAAATTTTGATCACATGACCGTGGGGATGCTGAAATGGTTGCAGTGTGAAAAATGGTCATAAGTCTTTTTTTTCAATGCCGTTATAACTTTGAATGATCACTAAATGAATGGCTGTCAGTCAAGGGCTACCTGTATGTAAGTCAGTGTTTGGCTTTACTATGTTTATTACTATGTTACTACTATTTTTATTACTATTATTTACTATTTTTATTACTTTCCTGCTTTCTTTGGTGTATGTTGTTGCCATGGCGAGTGATATTTTATCTCAGCAAACAGTTTTCTGTCTCAAACATAATATATGTTCACATGAGACTCCATGTCAGGGTGCCATAAGAACAGGTCCTTTGGGATTGGCAGGAAAAGTGGCAAAACAGGATAGTCAGGAAAAGAATTGAAGGAAATGGAGGCTGTCACTGAGTGACAAATATAGCCTTATGCACATGTTTTAATATTTATGCCTATTTATATTTTAAACAAACAAGCTAACCAGTTAACAAATCTTTCTGTCTCACTATGTCAACCTTTTTATTTACAGAGACAAATGGGACAAATGAAAATGAACCACGTGGGTATCCTTTATTTATTATTAATTGTAGTTTCTGTATGGGAAAGCTCTAACAGAATTGCTCTGCAAGATGGCAAGAAGATACTTAGAAATGAAAGCAAATTATTTGACTGTTTATGTTAAGAAGGGCATAAGATAATTTGAAAACAGTTAACAAATACCAAGGAATGGCACTTGCTCATTATAGTTAAAGCTTCAAAAAGTATCCTTTTACTACCGCAAATAATGTTATTTTTCCTCAGATTAAGAATTGAGGAAATTATGCGTAAATTGATTCAAGAGTAATAAATATAATAGTTAGGTGGAGCTCTCATACTCAGATTGCCAGAGAGTGAGGAAGATATGTCTCATTCAGGTAATCCTCAACTTATTGTAATACAGCCTATCCATTACAGTCATAAGTCGTGATCGTCATAAAGTGAGTCATCACGAGATCGACACGATTTTACAACCTCTTTTTGCGGCAGTTGTTAAGTGAATACATTAGTCGTAAAACAACCACAGTGATTGTTAAGTGAACCAATTGTTCACTATGGGCGTTTTTGCCGAAAACTGGAAGTAAATGTCATTTATCGGCAAAAATGTAAAATGTGGTCAAATGGCCGAAAATGTGGACTGGTTGCCTAGTGCCAGAAATGCAATAATGTGACCACAGCAGAAGAAGCGGCTGCCAGAACTTCAGAACCAGATTAGTACCCCTGCTGAGGTCCATTGTAACTTTGAATGGTTGCTAAGCAACCAGTTGTAACTTGAGGATTACCTGTATGTCAAGTCTGTTGTGCCTCTACTCAGAATGGCATCAGGTGAGGGAAAGCTGAGGGAACTACTTTTGGAAGTAGCACTCTGAATTTCAAAAGACTTGGTTCTAATCAGGTGGGCTCTTGTTCTTTAATCATACAAACAAAAGCAATTATCTATTGTAAATGTGTAATATAAATTTTAGGATCAAATATGTTTTGTGTGTGGTATTCTTGAGAACTAAAAAAAAAATAATCCAGACTAAATATGTGAAAAAATTACAGGAAATGACTTAACATGCAAAAGTTTAGGCACTTGTGATTTGTGTATCTTTAAGTGGTAGATGATCTCTGGAGGGCCCGGGACAGGGGTTGCTCCTCTATCCTGATCCTATTAGACCTCTCAGCAGCTTTTGATACCATCGACCATGGTATCATGCTGCACCGGTTGGAAGAGTTAGGGGTAGGGGGCAGCGTGTTGCGGTGGTTCTCCTCCTTTCTCTCTGATCGGTCGCAGTCTTTGTTGACAGGGGGGCAGAGGTCGACCCCGAGGCCCCTTGTATGTGGGGTGCCACAGGGGTCGGTTCTCTCACCCCTTCTGTTCAACATTTATGTGAAGCCGCTGGGTGAGATCATCCGTGGTTTTGGGGTGAAGTATCATCAGTATGCTGATGATACTCAGCTATACATCTCCACCCCAGACCACCCCAATGATGCCCTTAAAGTGATGTCCCAGTGCCTGGAGGCTGTACGGATCTGGATGGGGAGGAACAGACTCAGGCTCAACCCATCCAAGACCGAGTGGCTGTGGTTTCCGACGTCCCGATATAGTCAATTGGTGCCATCACTGACTATTGGGGATGAGTCATTGCCCCCCACGGAGAGGGCTCGCAACTTAGGCGTCCTCTTGGACTCAAGGCTGTCTTTAGAAGAACACTTGACGGCTGTGGCCGGGAGGTCTTTTTATCAGGTTCGCCTGATTCGCCAGTTGCGTCCCTTTCTGGATCGGGACGCGTTAAATACGGTCACTCATGCCCTCGTCACTTCACGCCTGGACTACTGTAATGCTCTCTACATGGGGCTCCCCTTGAGGAGCACCCGGAGGCTCCAGCTGGTCCAGAATGCGGCTGCACGGGTAGTTATGGGAGCAGCATGGCGCTCCAATGTGGCTCCCTCCTGCGCGAGCTGCACTGGCTCCCTGTGGTCTTCCGGGTGCGCTTCAAGGTCTTAGTTACCACCTTTAGAGCGCTCCATGGCTTAGGACCGGGGTACTTACGAGACCGCCTTCTGCCACCAATAGCCTCTCACCGCCCAGTACGCTCCCATAGAGAGGGGCTTCTCAGGGTGCCGTCAGCCAAACAATGTCGACTGGCGGCCCCCAGGGGGAGAGCCTTTTCTGTGAGGGCACCCACCATCTGGAATGAGCTCCCCCCAGAGATACAGAAGATTCTGGATCTGCGCACTTTCCGCCGTGCCCTCAAAACATTCCTGTTTCAGCAGGCCGGCCTGGCCTAACTTTCCCTTTATTTTGCTTTTTGATTTTATTTTAAACTGGGATGCCTTGAATTATCTAGGACCAGAGTGTTTAGTATATTTTAATTGGTTTTTTATTAACGTTTATATTAAATGTATTTTTATCGTTCGCTGTTCACCGCCCTGAGTCCCTTAGGAATAGGGTGGTATATAAATTTAATAAATAAATAAATAAATAAGTGAACAGAAGCTGACCCAATATCTGTTAAAGAGGAGATATTTTGGCAAATTTGAATGCATGCTTGCTTGCATAGTATGTGTGATTGTTTATTTATGGATTCAGTTTTTATTTAAAGTGGCTATAGCAAATGCAAATATATATATATATTTGGATTGAGGGGTATGTATATATATATATATATATATATATATATATATATATATATTCCTCAATCCAGTACTTTGTAACATCTCCTTTGACAGAAAGAATAATTTTCAAATGTTTTCCTATTCTTCCCTTTCCTCTTATTTTGATTTTTTTCAAGAAACAATTCCTTGCAACAGGCTTGCTACCATTCTGCTAGTATTTGCATGCTTCAAAATCACCCCATCCATTTCCCCATCTGTAATAAAGACTTGACCAAGGTTTCCAAATGAATCATATTACTTTTTTTAACCACTTATGTACAACTTGCAATTGCAATAAATATAGCAAAGATATTAAATATAATAAAGGGGACATCACACATCCTTGTCTGGTTAGTTTTAAACCATTTGTAAAACATTCCATTTATTCTTATGTATGCTTTACTTCCATATGTAGCATTTCCTATAAATGGTGGACATTGTCATTTTTTGCACATTTGGAGCAACCAAAGCCTAATTTTACTCCAAATACGTTCAAATTTTCCTTCAAACTAGGATATCTAATATAGAGCCTACATTGAAAGTCACTATGCTGTTGGTTGCATTCCACCAATTATGAGGTGTATATGCAGTGTTCTGACATACACTGGTAGCCCTCGACTTACAATCATTCACTTAGTGACCATTCAAAGTTACAATGACAATGGAAAGTTACTTATGACCAATTTGAGCTGCGGTGGCGCAGTGGTTACAGTGCAGTATTGCAGGCTACTTCTGCTGACTGCCGGCTGCCAGCAGTTTGGTAGATCGAATCTCACCAGGCTCAAGGTTGACTCAGACTTCCATCCTTCCGGGGTCGGTAAAATGAGGACCCAGATTGTTGGGGGCAATATGGTGACTCTGTAAACCGCTTAGAGAGGGCTGTAAAAGCACTATGAAGCGATATATAAGTCTAAGTGCTATTGCTATTTCACACTTGTAACTGTTTCAGCATCCCCATGGTCATGTGATCAAAATTCAAACACTTGGCAACTGGCATGTATTTATGACAGTTGCAGTGACCCAGAGTGACACGATTTGTAACCTTCCAAGCTGGCTTCTAACAAGCCAAGTCAATGGGGAAAGCCAGATTTGCTTTAACAACTGCATGATTCAATTAATAATTGTAGTGATTCGCTTAACAACTATGGCAAAAAGGGATATAAAGGGGCACAACTCACTTAACATCTGTCTTGCTTAGCAATAGAAATTTTGGGCTTAATTGTGGTCATAAGTCGAGGATTGCATGCGTTGCTCACTTTATTTACCTTGTTTATGTAAACATTATTTTCTATTTTTCTCCACTATTGACCAATGTTCAATAGACTCCTTAGGTCTTTGCTGTTCCATTGTTTCACATTTTTCCATTTCTCTTTAATTTGCATTCCCTTCAGTAGTACTTTACAATTTATTTATTTATTTTTAATTTGATTTATATGCCGCCCTTCTCCGGAGACTCAGGGTGGCTTACAATGCGTTAAGCAACAGCCTTCATACTTTTGTATATTTATAGAAAGTCAGCTTATTGCCCCCACAAACTGGGTTCTCAATTTACCCACCTTAGAAAGGATGGAAGGCTGAGTCGACCTTGAGCCTGGTGAGAATTGAACTCGCAGTAATTGCAGGCAGCTGGATGTTAAATGCAGCCTTAGGAGGCATTAGCCTCCTATGCCACTCAGACTCCTATTCTTATGAACATGTTATTTAAAACCCTAATTGATTATTTTTTTCTGGTATTTTCATGGTGAAAATCTGGTAATAATGAAACGATATTCAGTGTATGATCTGAATCATTTTGGGAAAGATTTTTGGGGATTTTAGCCTTTCTCTAATAACAGAAGTCATATGTGGATTAGAATTCTAAATTGTTATCAGCTGTAATATGGGGAATGGAATGGCAAAAACTATAATTGGTAATAAGAGTATGGTTGTCATTATAATCTCTCATTTTTATAACAACCTGGAAAATTGATTGTATAGGAACATAAAATCTCTGTTGGGTCAGGTCAAAGATTCTCATAGTTCAATATCCTGTTTCTATTAACGGTCTTATGCCTCTGGGAAACTTACAAGTAAGTTACTAAATAGTAACTTTGCTGATGAGTAAGGAACATTTAACAAGCTGTCATTACTAATAGCTGTTTATAAGTTTATAAAAGTTTATAAGTTTTATTTGTCAAGCATATATAAGATAACAGGTAAAGTATTGTTCTGCCCCAGCTCCGGATTCCCAAGGATATTGACACACACCAACGGTCCTTATCAAATTTATTAAGTAGCAAGAATCAACCAAAGTCTGGCAAAGGTTGGCAACCAGCCCAGAAAACAAGATACGATAAGACTTTTCCAAAAATGCTCTGATGATAATTACAAGTTGTTTCCAGCAAGAAACTTACTAACGGCGTGTGACTTAAATAGGCTAAGGGAGTGGCCAATTATCCTCAAGCCTTACTCTCGAGGAGACCTCCTCCTCCTGAGTAGCCACTCCTGCCTTTTGGCAGCCCTGCGTGCTCGAGCATTGAGAAGAGGCTCCTCCACTTCGCTCTCTCCACTTGAAGGAGTCTCTGGAGGTTCTGAAGGCCCTGGCTGAGTCTCTGCCTCTGGCACCACATCCTCTTCAGCCTCCTCGCTGTCCAACGTGAGCGCTGGCTGCGCAGGCTGCTGGCACGACACCACACCAGCCTCCTCGTCGGGATCAGCCACGATCTGCGCAGGCCGCTGGCCGGCCACAACAAGTATAAACATAATTTGAATACATGAAAAGATTAAGTAAAAAGGAATATTAGGACAGGGATAGTAGGCACACTGTTGCACTTAGGCACGCCCCTTACAGACCTCTTAGGAATGGGGTGAGTCAACAGTAGACAGTTTAAGGTTAAAGTTTTGGGGGTTTGGGGAAGAAACTACAGAGTCAGGTAGTGCATTCCAGGCATTGACCACTCTGTTACTGAAGTCATATTTTCTGCAATCGAGTTTGGAACGGTTTACCTTGAGTTTGTATCTATTATTTGCTCATGTATTGTTGTGGTTGAAGCTGAAGTTGTCATTGACAGGAAGGACATTGTGGCAGATAATTTTATGTACTATGCTTAGGTTAGACTGAAGTTGGCGTAGTTCTAAGTTGTCTAACCCCAAAATTTGGAGTCTGGTGGCATAAGGTATTTTATTGCGGTTAAGGAATGGAGGACTCTTCTCCTAAAATTTCTGTGTGGAAATCTATCATCATGTTCGTTTCTCTTTGTAGCGGGTTTAATGTGATAACTTTCATATGATAGCATAGTAAATTGTGGTTCCTGCTTGATTATACTTTGTGATAAGAAATAAATTCTGTTACCCTAAAATAATATGAAAATGTTGAGATTGTAGAATATTATTGTATCCAGCATTTTGGCAAATAAAGCACAGGCAGTTAATTAAAGTAAAATGCACGGGGCCTGGGGGAAAATATAAAAGGTAAAAGCATTTATTAAAAAGAATCTGATATGATTCCTCAAATGACAGGAATCATTCACATGTTATGTTTTGATAATGATTTTAAAAAATCCTATCTGATTCAGTGTATGTTTCACTTTATTATTATTTTTTTACAGTTGAAGAACCAGAAGAGAAAGAGTTACAGCTGTACTGCAGTAAATCAGGTACAGTCATTGTATATTTCACAATGTGGCCCAGAATTCTGGAAAATGAAGCACAGGCAATGAATAAAAGTTAATTAATTCATTAATTCATTCATTAGTTAAGTGCTTTCTCCTTCTAAAAGGAGAAAGCACTTATATGAACCTGATATGACCTCAAAGGATAGGAGTCATTCAAATGTTATGTTTTGATAACAATTTTAAAAATCGTACCTGATTTATGATTATTTTTTTTGTTTGTTTTACAGTTGAACAAGAAGGAGAAGAGTTGCAGAATGGTGGTGAATCCGGTATACACCCTTAGAAGATTGTATATTTTGAAATGTTAAAAGAGTTTTAATTTTTTAAAATAATCTAATTTTGTTTTATTGTTTCGTTTTAGAAGTTAATATCCAGCAATGCTGTAAACACTGCATAATCCAAAAAGTAGGTTTGGAAATTTCAAATTGCCTTAAATCTTAATTCATAAATATGCATTAATGCATAAATTATTGATATTTCAATAATTTATTTTTCTTTTTTTAAAATATAAAGAAGCAACACGAACAAGTCACTCCCAGAAGATTTCTGAAAGGACAGTTTTGGTAGCTATTATCTATTATTATTATTATAGCTGAAAATATTTCTGGAATTGTTTTCTTTTTTATGCTTTTTTATGCTTATTATGTAGGTGCAAATTTATATATGCATGCTATCAATTAGTAGAGGATGTAGGACAATCTGTTGGTGATTCTATATATTTACTTCATTCCACAAGTATTTTTATAGGATAGAAAAAATAAAGGAAAGTTATAGGTTGTTAATTATAAAGTCAAGAACATGCAAAAATTGCTATATATACCTTGTTCTTTTAGAATACTGCTTTAGGTATTCTAGGATATATATATATATATATATATATATATATATATATATATATAATATATATAATATATATAAGGCAAATTGTGTATTCTGAAATTATGAAAAGAAAGTCTACTTCATAGAAAATGGAAATTATGAACTTACTGGAATACTTCTTACCTTACTGTTATTTATTAAAAGTACATTAAAATACATTCATTATCATTATGTGAAATATAAGAAACATAGTCTAAGAGGCTAGTATGATTATGTACACTAATTATACTAATTATACTATGCACACTAAATTATATATATATGATATTAATACTTCAAATTACAGTATATTAATAGGTAACAATCTGTTTGCTAAGGGTTTTTGCACTGAAAAATAACATTTGTGACTTTCATCTTTTTTGTATTGTTAAGAAATGGTTTGCATGACAATTTTAAAACACTTTTAATTAGCATATTATTTTAGATGCAAAAGGTAACAATAGATTATCTTAATGCTCATAGGCGGAAGAGTTATGATAGCACCAATATTCTGTTTTATGTGTTTTAAAATATTTATATGGAAAGATAAAAAACAACAAATATCATTTGATGATATTACAGATTCAGAGTAACCTTTTGTATGTCATTTGTTTAGCTTGAAGCTGGATGGTGAAGGAACTTTTGAATGTACAGCGACGGGGTTAATTTTTGAAGTAACCAGATCTGTTACCATTGAATATTCAGTTTTGTCTTGGACCAAATATGCTGCTTATGTTAAAGAACCTTGGATTGTTGTGGGTCCTATATTTGATATCAAATGTTCCTCTTCTGCTCTTACTTCGATTCAGTTTCCACACACTCTCTGTCTGAATGGTAAGATTCATTGTAAACATTATCTCCTATATTTATGTATTGTGGCACATTCTTTAGAAAGTTCTAACATTTTGGAATTTGTGTGCAGATCATTTGTCTGAGAAGGCCTTCAAAGTATTCCATTTCAAAAAGAATGGTCCAGAATTTGAAGGCTCCATTGATCATTCAACCACACATGTCAAGTGGCACGTGAGCTCACTATCTCCAGTTGGACCAGTAATTGAGAGATATGATCCAGTATATTATCATGGGGTAGTCATTTTATATAAAGTTATCAACAATCATCCTTCCTTGAAATTCCGTGTGTATATAGCTACAAATAACAATTCATTTATAAAGGTAAGATCAAGTTTTTTTTTATTTTTTGGGAAAGTAAACTCTTCATCTTTTTAAAGGCAGAAGCGGTGACTGTACAATTGTTTCTAATGGATACTTAATAAAAAGTTCTAAGAAAGTGATTAGGTTCGGCTCCCTTGCCATTGCAATTAAAAGTCAGTGGGTTTAAATTCACCCAACCTGGATCAGCTGGGTGAGATTGAAATGCTATTTTGAATGTCAGTTTCTGCTTTACTGCTTCTCGTTATTTTATTTTATCATATTGAATAATGTACATATATTTTATTTTAACTTATTTTATTTTATTTTTATTTTTTAATTTATTTAGATTTTGTTTGTGACCTAAAATAAAATAAAACAGTGAGAAATCTTGCCAAACAAAGGCTAGGCAGATAGCTAAATTAAATGCTATGTTTATATACCAGTTCTGTATTCTGCACATTTCTAGGGTTCCTATGCTCAAAACTAGGAAAGTACAATTTCTTTCTAACAAAACAAATGGGAGCCAGAACACCAATGGGGATGTAATATAATGAATGAATTTAAAATATTGGGTAGGTAGGATAACTTAACTCCATTTTAGATTGAAGTACGTTGATAAACTGTATATCTATTCTAATATGTCTATTATTACTCTTCCATTTCTTGAAATGGATAAAAAGCTTTGGTTTAATTTTTAGGATATATCCAAAACTGTAAGACGATCTCTGAATAAATTCATTAAAATTGAAAAACCTCCTTGTCATAAATTATTGCAAAATGGAAAGAAATACAGATTAACTAGTGATCCAGAAGCTGACATAACCCCTGAGGTAGGTTTCTCATTCTTTGATAATTGGTTTGTCAACATATGTAGACTTTGTGAAACATGAAAATATCATCATTTGAACTTCCAGTTTTAGGACAATTGTTAAGTTAGATCAAGCCTTTGGTATGATAATGGCATGTACAGCAAAATGTTTTATTCATTCATAATGAAGAATACTTTAAAGAAGAAAAGTATTTTGTCACAGTAAGCAGACTTTTTAATATTTCAATATCCTTTTCTAGGAAATTCAGTTTGGAGATGACTCCACCCTGGCAGAGAAGCCTTTCTTTGAGGTATATTTAGAACAGCCAATGGAACTTATGCTATCTTTGGTGGATTTGGAATCTGAAGAAGTTGTGTGGAAGGCAAAGCTCAGAGAATGTAAGCATATATTGAGCACAATCCAGTGCATCATACATGTATCTAGAATTTTTTAAATTAAACATTTAATAATTTATTTATGTAAGTATGTATGTATGTATGTAATTTATATGCCGCCCTTCTCCCGAAGGACTCAGGGCGGCTTACAAAGAATGGAACAAAAATTACATAAACATTAAAAATCCAATTAAAAATTGATTAAAATTATTTAAAATCACCCCTGCGGATTAGCCCATTTGATGAAAGAGCCGCGTCTTCAATCGGCGGCGGAAGGAGAGGAGGTCAGAGGCTGTCCTAAGGCCGGTGGCAGCCCATTACAGAGGGTCAGCGCTCCCACAGAGAAATGAATTGTAATGAATTGTAATTAACAAATTTGCATAAAATATGTGCATTTTATGTTATTTTGTGTTTGATTTATTTTTGTAAATAAAATTAGCTTCTAATTCTAAAACTCCTATCAAAAAAATCTACAGTATGAACATAAATCTTTTTATGTTTGGGAATTTTATGTAACCACAAGGTGAAGGAAAATTAAGGCAACAATACAATATGTCTGTATCATGCTAGATCTATAGTCTTATGTGATAACAAAGCTATCTTCTGATTTTAGGGATAATTTTAATATGTCTGTGGCTTGGTTCATGGAAAAACCTTTGTAGAAATTGCGAATACAAACACGTATTTATTTGAATGTAATATTATTTTTTTTCTAATTTTAGATAAGATTATCATTGTGGAGCATAGTTTTTCTCTGAGTTTTGGAATGTGCAGAAAAATCAGCAGTGAAAGCCTCAAAACAAATTTGCTTGAGTTTTATTGGAGGAGGGACAGAAGAGAAAATCAAGCAGTTTTTTTTTCCTTCCACAGAAAACAGTTCCTTCTGTTCCTTTATAAGTTCCCTTCATATGCCTTAAAACACAAGCAAATTGATTTCTCTTATGATCTTGCTTATTATCTCTAAAAACAGTGCAAAATGAAAAATGGACCCTCCTCTTTACTTTGCTCAGGTTTATTGCATTTATCAAAATTTTCTGGCATCCTTGATATTGTAGGTACTGTAGCAAAGATATTTGAATTTCTTCTTTTCTGCAATGGTTGAAGGAAATTTAATGCATTCTTAGGACATAAGAAACATTATGTATTTTGGCCCTTTCCTTTGCTATCAGATACAGGGAAGTTGACCCTAGATATCTAGACCTTTCTGTTTTAACTATGGTAGATATTTGTTAACAGTAGGAAACACAACTTTTGTATATACTTGCTTGATTAGTTTCTGCTTTATGAAATTCTTTGAAGATTTTGCCCATATATTTTTAAAAGCTATAGAAGTAAAAGCTATAGAAGTAAATGTCCATTTGACCTATATTGTTTATATCATTCTTTAATTATGTCATCCTTTAATTAGAATTGCAAATTACTTTCCCATATGCTTTAATTTTATTCTTGTCTTTTTTTTGCATGGGATAGCTGATTGGACTCTACATAACCAGAACGAAAATGAGCAGGAAAAATCTCTTAACTGTAAGTGTTTGAAACAGATCTGCTTAAAAGGGCCTGGTGGCTCAGCAGACTGATAGCATTGTGATTAACACCAGCTGTCTGCAATTACTGTAAGTTTGAATCTCACCAGGCTCAAGGTTGACTCAGCCTTCCATCCTTTCTAAGGTAGGTAAATTGAGGACCCAGTTTGTGGGGGCAATAAGCTGACTTTGTATAAATATACAAAAGTATGAAGGCTATTGCTTAACACATTGTAAGCCGCCCTGAGTCTCCGGAGAAGGGCGGCATATAAATCAAATTTAAAAAAAAAAACTGTTTTGTACAGTATATATTTACGTTCACTTTTCTGTGACTTCTCAAAGGGAGCATTCACGTGTCTTTCCAACTATAAACATCTGGAAAAATTGTGGCCATCTATTACTGCTGAAGCACAACATAATAATGCCTTTGCTAACCTTGTGTTCTATCTATGACAAACTATAATCCAGTCACTGTCTGCGGCCCCCTTAATATTTTATTAAAGGTGTAGGAGGCAGTCAAATTAAATAATTACGATAAAGTATGAAGGTTTAGGGGAAAAGATGGTGATCACCAGTTAAAATTGGATGGAAAAGCATATTGGGGGCTAAAACACAATCCAACACTAATTTTTATAAAATACATCTTTTTTTATAGTATCGTTCCATGTTCAAAGGCAGAGGCCTTTATACATACAATACCCATCAACTATAAGGATGACACACCCTAGTTAAAAGGGACGGTCCACTACAAATAGACCATTGCACCCAAAATATCTTCCCCTGAAGCCTGATGTTTCTATTCTTTTAAACTTGAGAGTACTCTCTATGTCTATAGCCAGATATATCCATGGCTTTCAGTCACAAGGGTTGTATGCTTTAATATCATCCTGGCTTATGCATCTAGAACCTCTGCTTTAACTTCAGAGACCTTAAAACACCATTCTTTGCTTTTGATGCTGACATGCTAACTGGACTGCTGCTGGTTGAAGCCTACCATCACTTGGGGCATCACAGGTTCTCCATCCCTAGTTTTCGTAGTGTTCTTCCTGAATAGGTAGCACTTACATTTCTTCAGATATCGGCTGATTTTCAGTCCCTTTAGTTGCAGTTCTCATTGCCTGAAACTGCTGCTTTGGAAACTTACTTTGAAGCTTGTTTATAGTGTGTGTGTGGGGGGTGGGGGGTGTATATGAGATTAAGAACAAAGGAAAATTCCATTTAAAAGGTCTTGGGATGGTACATATGTTTAGAAAGCATGAAAGACTGTACACTATGATTCCCTGGGGTTATTTTTGTCTTGTGTGCTTTAGGTGTTGGGAAACGAAAAGCTACCACCAAACTTAAAAATGAACTTTGCTGTAAGCGACAAAAAATTGCAGACATCACAGGTAAATGTTTTATGTGCTTTTTTTTTAAAAAAATGTGGCTTTTAGTTTTTCCATATTGTGAAATGATGCATTTTATATAGGAATTAACAGTCTGAACTATGGAAATGTAACATTTGAATGTCTGCAAGCATTCTTAGACCATTTTTATGAAATATTAAATGTATTTTTTAAATGTCCACAAGAGGAAGATCTTCGATGTCTGTTAGTTTGATACTTTTAAATGAGTTATAGCGAAGACAACTTTCATTTACTGAAATTCTAATTAAGATGATATTATATTTCCTTCTCTTTGATAATTATTTATGCTCTTTTAGCAACAGTGGCCATAGAACTCTTTACTCTTTTCCATGTTACAAGCAATGTGTTTGGGTGTGCTTATGTGTGTCCATTCTTTCTTCCCGAAGAAACAATTTATTTATTTATTTAAGAAAATTTATATGGCCACCAAACTCACTCTCAATGACGCAAGATAGCTTACAAGGATAAAAGCCCAATATAAAAACAGTAAAAAATTAATAGCACCGATTACCTACATGTTTAGTTTTTAAAAATAATTTTATTAAATATTCAAATGCAATAGTAAAAACTAATCAAAACTAAAAAGAAAGAGAAAAAAGAGTAGAAAGGATAAAAAGTGCAAAGGAAAAAAATAGAATAGAGAAGAGAAAAAAATATATAAAGAATTGACTTTCAACCTTCATCATAACATGTACCGTGTTTCCCCATAAATAAGACCGGGAGTCTTCCGGTATACCTTCTGATCAGGGGTGAAATGCTACTGGTTTGCACCAGTTCGGGCGAACCAGTAGTGGCGGTGACACATGGTTTGGTGAACTGGTAGCGGCGGCGCTGCGAAGCTCCGCCCACCTGCCCGGACATTGTTACTTCCTGGTTTTAACAGGAAGTAACCTGTTTTTTACCCTCTGCCCATGCTCAGAAGGCTTTGTGCATGCGCAGAGGGTCCAAAATAGTACGTGATGCACGTGGAGCATGCACTTCTGAACTGGTAGGGAAGGTAAGTAGATTTCACCCCTGTTTCTGATGGTATTCCTCCAGCATAGCTCTTGACCTCTATCTATAGAAATCTATCCATAGAAGCGAATGTTGCTATTAAGATTGTTATTATAACTTCTGAGTTTTTCAAATTATCCTTCAGCATTTTCAATGTTATAATATTTTGCATCACTCTGTAGCTGTTAAGGAGTATTATGTATGCTCTTCCTTTAAATTAAAGCCTTTGGTTCCCTCTAGTGTCCAATTTCTAAAATTGTTTATCTCTTTTATATTTAAAGCAAGTCAACTTTCTCACAAATAGGATTCTTAAAATTAATTCCAAAATATTATTTCAAATTTATCTGGTTCCATTTATAACTTTCTAAAATCAAAGTCTTAATTAGCTTTTTGCTATTTATTTCATTTTTATAAAAAGTTCCTAAGCTTGTAGTTAATTTTTTTTCCATTAAGAATTGAAGAGACTCACCTGGTGTTTTCCGATGTGTCGATCCAAAGGTTTCTAATACCTGAAAATTAATTAATAAGTAATCTCCAAATATGATCAGAGAAGGAAATATATTAATTTAATGCCCTTTTAAAGGCATTCACTGCATTTTGAGCAAGATAGCTCTTCTCTTGTCTCCCAGTATTCAAAACCTTCTGGAGACCTCTGTCATGCAGTCTCCTTGAAAGAAACAAATAGGAATGATATCCTGTACTTTCTTTATCTGGTGAGTTTCAAAGAGCCAGCCTACTTGCTGACTCTTTGTTCTTCACCATGGTCATTGGCTCTGCTTTTCACAGAGCCTTCTTCATTTTGCCATTTCTTCTTCTGGAAATCCCATAATGCCTATATGTTTATATGTTTGTCTATTTGGGCCTAATCAAGTGTATATAGATGTGTTTCCTCTGAATACAATATAAATTTCTGCATTCCCTTGTGGTGACCCTGTGTTTTTTTATGTATCTCTGTGCTTTAAAAAATAAGGGTGATATTGTGTGGGTTATGTGACTTGGAAGATGCTGGAAGATTCTTAGTATGGCCTAAGCTGTTGCACAAATTCCCCTGCCAAAAGGATCTATTTGGATTTTTTTCTTCTGCAGACCCCAATCTGATTCAGACCATTTTTGAATTTAAATCTTTAAATTTCGTGTGTAGAAGAAAGAAAACAGCAAAAGTAAGATTTGAGTTCAAAAATGGGCTGGATCAGACTGGGGTTTATCCATTTTTTCAGAGAGTTATCTTGCTGATGGAAAAACATGCAGGCTCCTGTACTTCTTTACATAACTCCCTCTCAACATTCTGCTGTTTTGAAAAGAAATGGACAATTCTGATATGTTTTTTTTAACATCCAGTGAGAATTGAACTGCATGAAAAGCCAGTTGGATGACATTGGACTAGTCACACCCTCTCAGGTCTAGGAAGAAACTAGTGGCAAACCTAGAAAACTGCAGTGACTAGTCTGATTAATTAAGACTGACTTGAGGGAGCAAGAAAAGGCTAGAGATTTGCATATTTTTATTTTATTACTATCATAAGACCAGCACTACCAAGAAAACAATATACATTCAATCTTTAAAGGAAAGGAATAAAATTGATTACATTTTAAAGCTGAATTAATTATTAGGATAACAACTTTGGTCCCTGAATGACTGCACTGAGTAATCAGAACTTTGGAAGGTAATAAACTGACATTGGGACACAAAACATATTTATTTATTCATGTATTTGTAGAATAATTTATAACTAATTTATAAATGCCTACTTCACAGTGGCTTACAATAAGAAAGAAGAAAAACAAACAGCAACTATCTGGTTCATGCTGACTTTAAAGTACTTTATTTCTGTCATTGACAAACCATTTAGAGTAAAATAATATATAATTAAAGGATAATATAAAATAAATAAAATGAAGTGGAATAAAAAAGGGTACACTGATTATGCCCAGCACAGATGAAACTTTTTTAGTTCATATAAACAACTTTGAACATAGACTGTTAGACTAAGGCTTCACTGAAGCTAATGAACAGAAAAGTTAGCAGTTATTGTTGCCGTTAATCTTGAAACAAGTTTAATTAAGTTTAACTTAATTAAGTTAAACTGTTCCAAATGAAGTTCCTTCAAATCTTGATAAACTTTGACCTTCAACTGACTAATTTTGGGGAATATCCCAATTGAAGCAACAAGAGAGATTAAAATTTTATCAACAACCACCAGAATCCAGGTTGTAACCTCTACAGATTCCTGGCCTAACTAAGATCTACATTTGGGTGCTTGGAAGATTTTTTTTCCAGGATTGGGAAAATTAAAGTTTAGTATAATCACAACCTTGTACTATGTACAGCTGTAGGAGAAGAGCAGGCAGAGCTGGGGGGCAGAATTAAGTGCGTTATCAGTTTAGAGACTTTACGTTCCCACAAAGGGTCCAAGTTTAACTCTTCCTGAATTCTGCTGATCCTTATCTAGTGACAATTTAGTGTTGAACTTAAATTGCATAAAGGCTTTTATAAATTTTCTGTGTGCAACTTAATGGGTGGTGCTGATTCTTTGCACTTGATAACAGCAAAAGTAAAGTAAAGCTTGGGCATTAAAGTGATAACACTAATGTTCTGACCTAGGCTTCCTGATATAGTAAAAAGCACACAATTAGTCCTCAAACCCCTTTTTTTATTTTAACAGCTGTGAATTCCTTCCATTCACAGCACGTGCTGAATCACCAAGAGTTTATAAATAGCCCAACAGAAGTCTGCCACAGTCCTTCAGTTAAGGCTGGTAAACACCCACCTTTATCTTCTTTGACACACTGCCAAAGACCTAATTGGCAATTATCTTGGCAAGGCCACACGGAAACACAGAGTCAAAAACGGAGCTTCAAAGTACAAATTGACACCATCCATAATGTTGCTTCCTGCAAAGGCCCACCTGCCTTTGCTCTTCCTTTTTGTCGTATGGGAGGGGCCAATCATCTCCAAGCCTTACTCCCGAGTCATCCCTTTCGTTTTAACTGTTCTTGCCTTCTGGCAGCTCTGCGCATGTGCACACTAGGAACAGGCTCCCCCTGTTCCTCTGCCTCTCTGATGTCTGACTCTGGAGGCTCCGGAGTCCGCACATAACTGCCAGATGTCCCTGGCCCCATCTCTGCCTCTGATGCAGAGCCCTCGTCCGAGCCTTCCCCAGATTCCAGGACTGGCTCATGTTCCTCCCCAGACTCCTCACTGTCTGACTCTGCTGCCAGTTCCACAGGCTGCTGGCAGACCACAACAGCTAAGTGAATGATGGCTGTGTGATGAATCTCAGACTGGTAGCGGTGGTGTCTTATGCATTATTTGCTGCATATGCCAATTGCACACTCTACAATCTGGGGTCATGAAAAATTATTCCAATGTTTACAACATTCCACTTGTCCCTTATCTGTCTATTAATATGTTATCTGTATTTAATCAGTCATGTGACATACTTCACAATCTTTGTTTTAGAGCAGTTTATATTCAGCCAGACTCCTAATTTGATTTATGTCTGTGAAAACAAACAACATTTGCATAACGCAAAAAAGAGGGTCCTTTGCCAGGCAACTTTACAGGGGGATAATGCTGCTGTGAAAAGGCAAGATATATAATTAAATGATTTATATAGATGTTAAATAATCATGGAACTAACAAGTAACCTTGCTCAATGCATTTTTTTTATCATGGATCCTGTCTGACAGTTTGTCTCTAATACTGGAATGGGTTTCACAACACAAATTATATATTAATAAAAGGAGCTGCCTGATAATACTAATTTCACCCAGTAAGATTCACCCATATCTTAACAACAAATCAAATGCTGAAATGACTTGAAATCTATCAAAGTAATATACTGTCTTGGAAATTGACTTTCCTTTTCGTACTCAGTGTGTTAGAACCAATATCTGACTGCGTTTTCTCTGAAGCTTGCTTGCTTATCTACTAAAATGTTACATTACCGCAGTGGTCCCCCATATTTCTGGCTTGGTGACTGGTGGGGGGGGAGAGGGGATGGTTCCATGCGAGTGTGACTGCTTGCGCAAACATGCTTGCCCGCTGCCTCCGCAGTCCGGTTTTGAATGGGCCACAGCCTGGTGGTGGGACATGTCTAGGGGTTGGGGACCTGTGCATCACTGAATTTAATCTTGAGATCTCAGCAGTAGATTCTTAATAGAATCTGTTTTTGAATTTTTCCTTAATAGCTTGATCAGACCTCCCCCCCCCCCTTTAATATGAATAATGATGGTTAAATCCCAGTCTTTGGGTATGACTGTGGCATTATCTGTGGCAGTGAAATGTGGTAAATAGAAAAGTACCATTCATATGTCTGCTTTAAGAATATCTGTGTGAATCAGGTCATTGCTAGGGACTTTTTAAATTGACATACCCTGTTTTCCCCAAAATAAGACATCTCCTGATAATAAGCCCAATCGGGCTTTTGAGCGCATGGCAATAAGGCCAAGGGCTTATGTCAGGGTTCAAAAAAATATAAGACAGGGTCTTATTTTCGGGGAAACATGGTAGGTGTATCCATTCAGGGATCTTCTCACTATGGTCAATCTTTAGAAGTTTCCAAGTCAAATACAAACTTGGGTAAGAGAAAAAAAAACGGCTGCAAAGGGAATAATTTAGGATGATTTGGCTAGTTATTTTGCTAGGTCACTCCCAAACAATTCCAAAATAAGGCTCTTTTTTTGACTGCATAAATTAACTCCTGCCAACTAGGCTTATTCATCCTCCTTCTCAATTTTTATTTATTCTTTTAAACTGGACATTTATAAATAAAATCAGAGGAAATAGATAGAAGACCTGCATATCTATATGATTTGCAAGTTTTTAGCAGATATATTCTTCTTATCAAGCCATTTTGGAGGTTTTAGATTAAAGATATATGATGTAGAAGCTAAATTATTGATTCGTTTTGGACTTTGATTTGTCAAAAGAAAAAAAAAAAAAGAACCCAACACTAGGGCACTGGTGTAAGACTTTGCACCTCCATAATTTAGAAATATTCTTTTCATAACTCATACTTGAATTGGTTTTAGAAAAATAGCAGTGTCAACAAAAACAAGCAAGTAGAATTAAACCTTACAGCTACTTGTAAATGACATTAGTGCATAGAGTCTCTAGTGACATTTATATATAATTTGGTGGAGATCCAAGCAGTATTTCTTTTGCTCGGCCTGCCTTTGCCAATGTTTGGACTGGTTTTGAGTGACAAGCTTGGAAGTCATCTGTTCCATGACATCTGTTGATCTGGATGCAAAGCTCCATCAAACTACCCGTTTCGAATATATTTTGGCTTTTTTTTCCATAAGAAGAAAGCAAACATTCTACATTCTAGCAGAAAGAGAGATGGAGAGAGGGAGAGATTGTAATCCTTCCTTAGGCATGAAACCCAGCATTCGGATAAGTGGCATCTTCTGTCCTTTCCCACCTATTTTCTCATGATTGAATGAGGAGGTAGGAATATAACATGTACTAGAAAACTCAAATTTATGCTGACCTCATTATTTGGCTTATTTATGGAGGCTCTGATGGGCTGCTGAGGATCAGTTGTTAGGTACCCGCCTGCTCTGGTGGAGATTTTAAAGTCGTGGGTTTATTCCCTGACATGTTTTTTTCCTTGGATTTATCTTTCTTTCTTTCTCAATTATAGTAATATCTTAGCATTGGAAATAATATGCTAGTTGAAAAAGAACAGCAGAGCTCAGTCAGATTTCCAACTAAGATATCACAGTCAATCTTGATGCAGCATGGAGCACAGCTAACAAGCTACTAGATGCTTCTACTGTTAGGGTAGATGGGAAAGACCCCCATAGATATTTGTATGTCCTCCAATCTTTCATACAAATCATAGTGCCATTTTTTACCCCACGCTGCACGGTTCTCTAGCATATACCATGTTTCCCCAAAAACAAGACCGGGTCTTATATTAATGTTTGCTCCAAAAGAAGCATTAGGGCTTATTTTCTGGTTAGGTCTTATTTCTGGTTAGGTCATATTTTTGGGAAATATGATACTAAATGTACCCATCTGGCTGACAATCTTAACTGGGGCTTATTTTGGGGGTAGGGCTTATATTACGAGCATCTTGAAAAATCATGCGAGGACTTATTTTCCAGTTGGATCTTATTTTCAGGGAAACAGAGTACAAAGTAAAAGCAATCACTACTTATAACCAATTTCTGCTTTTGTGCATTTAGATGGAACGAACAGTAATCCCTTGTTAACAGATTATGAGCTGATGAGTCTTGCAAAGAAAATGGGTAAAGACTGGAAAGTCATTGGTATTGGATGCCTGAAGTTGACCTTGCAAGACATCGAACAGATTGAAGCAAAAGAAGAAGATGTTAATATGTATAAATGTATGATGCTGAGGAAGTGGAGAGATTCTGAACAGAATAATGGAACAGCCCATAATTTATATAAATGCCTTGATGGTCAAGTATCCCATGAGCTGCTAGAACTCCTGAAAGGTACCTTTGCATCCTATGTAATCAAACATTGGTGGGGTTGTGGGGTTTTTTGTTGTTATTTCTTATAAATAAAGAATTGGGACCCAGGATAAAAAAAATTGATTTACAGGATATATTGTCATATTAAGGCCAACTTCTTCATGTTGATATGAAGAACTATTCACATTTAAGACTTTGTTAATTCATTTATTTAATTTGTCCACATTGCAAACATATTACTCTTGGATGTTTAGAACAAAAACATTATTGAAATAAAAAATAAATTCTAAAATCCTCCAATATAAAATTAAAAAAACCCATCAATACGTCAGCCTTGTTTCAGTTAGACAATTGTAGACAATTAATTGAACAATTGTCCCAAAGACCACTATTGTGAGGAGAGCCTAACCAGGAAGCTCCTAGCAAGGATTCAATCTCCATGAAACAATAATGATATGCCTCATTCCCCCTCCCCATTTGGTAGCGGGGGACCAAAAGCAGTTTCTCTTGGGATACATGAGTTGCAAAGCCCAATTCCAGCTGGAGAAGACAGTCCTGAAGGTATTTTGGTGTCAAGCTGTGTAGGATTTTATAGATTAAAACCAGCAGTTTGAATGTCACTGAAAGCAAATAGGAAGCTAACCCAGGGCCCGAAGCACTTGCAATATGTGGCTGGGGTAGAAATATAGCCTGGTACTATATTCAAAATTATTAGAAGCTTCTGAATGTCTTTCAGAAGAAGCTCCATGTAGAGCTGATTGCAGTTGATCCCAACTAGGATAGCTTCCAAGTTAAAATCAGGCAAACCAATTTGCCACCTTCCTTGCTTAACCCCAGTATCATAAAAGGCTCTTCTGTTCCATTTGATATTGATATTTATAACTTGCTACAGCTTTTATACTGTTGAGTAACTGTTATGTTGCCATAGAACAGCTTTCCCTGTCTTGAAAATGTCCAGTAATACGTCCCACAAGTCCAGTTATTACGATCAATAAATTCAGCTCATTCTGTAGATCTGTATGTAATCTTTCTTAGCGATTACAGTTGGGATCGTAAGCTTGGTAGTTAAGTGAAGTATTTGTTAAGTGAAACTGTGACTGTACTTATGAGCTTGCTTCAGCTTTCTTTTGCTTTACTGAACTACTATAAGGGCGCAAATACAAGGATTGGTTGTCAAATTGCTATAACTGCAAATGGTTGCTAAACAAGGCAGTCGCTAAATGAGGACTACCTGTAGTAGAGCTATACACATTTTAAGAATGATTTCAAAATAGCAGACCTCACATGGGAATCTTTTGACGCACACTGTCGTATTTACCTAAATTCCAACTAATTTTACTGCTTTATCTTTTTTCCAGGTTTTTTGCAGCAAACGTGAGTGCATATGGAACCAATTTCAAACAGAAATATTGGGAATATTCTTTTGTAAATTTTCCAGTTGCCTAAAAGGAATTTTATTGTGAACTTAGCAACACTTTAAAACTAAGAAAAGAAAATGATGGACCAATTATGAAAACTCAGGATTAAATGTGGTTTGGGAAGGAAGCAAAGTGAGTGGAATCATGAACTTCTGCAAAGGCATTTCCCCCTACATTTTACTCACAGGTTCCCAGAGACATTTGCACAATCAACAATTCCTTCACCCCAGGAGAACTGGTGCTTTCCCAAAATGTTTTCAGTTTTTGTTTGTTTGTTTGGATGAGGTGAGCCTTTTTCCCCCTCACACATATGAAAATCATCAACCTGGCATAGTGTTGTAAAGGCACTTTCTAACTGTGCATGCCCCAAAATAGAAACATTAAAACTTTACAGGTAGCCTAAAATGTTCTCATTCTAAATTTTATCCCTACTGTAGCATTTGGACTTTTTTCTGGCTACCATGCTTAGAAATGAAATTTCTGATGCCTTGAGGCATGTTTTGTTTGAGTTAGTGTAATAAATAAAACTTGGGGTTGCTTAGAAGTTTATTAGGAATTCCTCAGTGAAACAACTAATAATGAAATATTTGTTTCTTGGAAGATATTATGGTTGTCTTTACCATTCTTCCGCGAGATGCAACTGAAGGTCATGTTGGATACGTTTTACTTTTTCTGTGGTATTTAAGTCACCCCTGGACCTTGTTCCATGGTTTTTAGTTAGAGGGCTGGCAAAATGTTTAGAAATCCCCTGCTTTTTTATTCAAAAGTATATTAGAACAGTTCAACAATTTCTGTGAAGAAAAGCTGACTTCAGAGGACTTGTATATAGAATGATACAAATTTGCATAAATAATTCCTGTTTTAAATGGCAGTTTTGTTTTAAGTGAGAGGTGAGAAGCATTGATGAAATACAATTGTCAAAATACAAGAAATACTTAGCCGTTATTTCTCCTGAGAATTTTAGCTGGTTCCTCATTTCATAATTTAGTGGGCGCCTTGGGCACTCTTAACAGAGTGATGCCATGCTAAACATAGTCAAATTGAAATTCACCCCATGTTCAAGGAGACAAACAATTGAGCCTAGGCTAAAAGAAAAACAATTCGTTTAAGGAACTAAAAAAACAAAGTGCAGGTGAACTCTGAACTAACACAAAATCAGTCTTTTTAAATCTAGATTTAAAATCTACATTTCTATTTCAGCTCTCATTTTACAGTGACTTCTCTGATGATGTTCAGAGAAAAGTGGCTTAGGCAAGACCAGCAATGTGGTTTGAGGGGTAAATGACACTGCTTTTGTAAACCGTATTGAAATATAAAAGATGTAAAAAAACAAACAGACAGAAAAACAATGCTCAGGCAAAAAGAATGGGGAATAACTCTATTACTACTTACCTCTTTTAAAATCAGGAATGTCCATGACACTTATCTTTTATTTTTCCTACATGACCAAGAATGTTTAAGTGACTATTGTTAGGGTAGCCAATGCTGGATTGCAGAATTTCAGGAACTATTAAAATGGTGTAAAGAGAAACAAAAGACAAGACTCTTTGCTGATATCTAGTGGTTGCTTTGATTTTTGCAGTCAAGATACATTAATCTTAACTCTTGGGCCATAATTGCACAGCACTATAATAAGTTATTTTGGATATACAAACATGGGAGATTTTCTATCATGCCAATATGCTTTCGTCATGTTTTAACATTTTCAACAAAAATCAGGAATGCCAGAACTTGGCCTAGACTAGAGCATCATGTTGGAAACCCTAGGCATGTCTGAATGAAGATGAGGACTAAAACTTATTTGAAAGTGCACAATTTTGCACTCCACAATCCTCTGCATTTTTACAGATAATTTTGTAGAATTATGTGTACCGATTCTCTATTTATTTAGGTATCTTTTTCCAAATGTTTCCCCTTTATTAGTGGATACATTCGGTGGTATAATTCATCACCCCCAGGAATGTAGCAAATCCACCTCTCAATGAAACTTTGGTCCCCAAAATTAATCCTGTAATCATAAAAGTATATTTTGCCATATAAAACTGCATCAAATTCCATAAAATACCTCAGTTTTTTAAAAAATGTTTTTGTTTTAAAAATGTAGCACTTGATTTAATTTTGGAACTGTAGATAGTATGTATTCATTGGTCCCTAAATGTTATATGTTTCTTGTGATACTGTAAAAAGAAATTCAATGATATTATGTTGGTTAAAATAGATTGTTTTTGTATTTCTTTTATAATTCATTCAAATTAAATGTACATGTCAGTGTGCGGTCTTATTTATATTGAAGAAGTCGAAATGGAACAGTCACTGATGCTAGGCCAACTGTGTTTTGTAGTTTCTCAAAAGTTTTCTTTCCTAAAAACGAACCTTCTCTTTCTGTCTTGTTTTCTGGATGCTTGAGATATTTTTTTGGGAATTTCTCATTATAGCATTTTGGGGCTTATTTGAAGACAGATATAACTTTATTTTGGTTATTGACCAATAAAAGTACACTCAATATAAGGAAGAACAAAAAATATCCCCTAAATAACAGGAACTATTAGCAACCATTTGTCAGCAAAGCTTACACATAATCAGTGGTGGGTTGCCCCTGGTTCAGACCAGTTCACAAGAACCGGTAGTAAAACCGGTGGGAGGCTCCACCCACTGACCTGGATGTCATCATAGGTGATCTATGCATGCACAGAAGAGCGTGCATGGACGATGCGAACCGGTAGTAAAGGTAAGTAGAACCCACCCCTGCACATAATGTAGCAAAATGTTATTACTCTTACAGATATAAATTTATCTTGATTATTTAACATAAATAAAACCTATCAGAGTTCCCCCTGAAATTTAAATAGTATATAGTATAGTTTATTGAATAGCCCGAAGGCCTTTTCAAACAAAACAGAAAAGAAAAAGGGAAAAAGGTAAAACAGTTACAAAAATAGCAATCTAAAAATATATGATAGATGACATTAAAATTTTACAATATCAAATTTCAATAGCTAAGTTGCCAAGACTAGATAACCCAAATAGGATAGCTCCTCTCTAACTGAGCTCATCTTCCTTACAATCGATAAAAAATTTTTTGATATAACTGGCTCGTATTTAAATATAACAAGAGTAATCAACCGGTGGCATTATTCCTTGTAGAACTTGCAATATAGAAGAATGGGCTGTGGTTTCTATGATATTTATATCACAAGGACACTTGGGTTTCATATAGGGCTTTCCTATGTTTTCCTTCTGGACAGGAATTGTGTTATTATTGCAGATAATAAAGGGGATACTTTATTATTTCAGGTTTAATTCTAATCTTATTGTCTTTTACT